GCACTGGTCTTGCCCTGAGATTTGCTCCCAGGAAAGATGTAAAGAAGGAAGGAAGGGAATTTCTGACACTTCCCAATTGGATAGACTCATTTTCTGAGCCAAAGCCAGAATCTTGTCAGTTGTGGGTCAGCACTCAGTTGGTCCCTGAGTGCTTTGTGAGCTAGTAGGGAGGAATGGAAGAGAGGAAATAAATCTCGTTTCTGGGACATTTGGTTTCCTTCCCACAATGCCTTCCTTTACTTTCAGTGGATAACAACACAAGACAGCTCATTAAGATATAGCATTTCCTGAGTATTTGCCAGGAAATTTGCAGGTAGTTACCTAATTCTTTGAAAGAAGAGACTGAAGTTCAGGACTGGGTGCATGGCTTAGGTGGTAGAGTGCCTGCCTAGCAGGTGTAAGGCCCAGAGTTCAACCCCCAGGACTACAGAAATGAGAGAAGAGGGAGGGAGGTGGGAGAGAGGGAACGACTTAAGTTCAGAGAGGTTATATATCTGATTCCAGAGCCCAGAAAGGGGTCAGTTCTGAGGTTCCTACTGTAGGCTCCTCAAAATAGATTTTGTAGATGAGATTATAGCAGTATTGCCATACTTTCTCCACTCTTCTTTTATCCCCATTGAAAAACTTGAATTGCTGGGAATAGGGGCTGTATTTTACAGAAAAATTGCCTACCCAGCAGTTCTGTGATTTTTTTTTTTTAATGGAAAAAAGATAAGTAGGAAGTTTTGTTAATGCCTCTGATTACATGACCATTTTACAAAATGTATAATAAATTACAGCTTTAAAAAAATCACAATTTTGCAAATGTCATTATAGTAATTATCTCAGTAATTATTTCATCAGTGGATGCTGTGAACATTGAAAGTTTATTGAGGAATTGGCTATTCACACAATTTGAAAATAGTACCCCACAGATTGCTTATTAATTAAATGGAGAAATGCATTCATTTATAGTGAAGAATATGGCAGATACTAGATTAACTGTCATAAAATTTGCTGTGAGCAATAAAAGTAAAACCTACCATGTGCTTTCTGAGGTGATACCCAAGGAAGGAAGGACATAGCATCACTGCTTGACTTTCTTACCAACAGTGTTTAATTCAGAGACTAATCATCAGGAAATAATGAAGCAAGTCCATATTGAGGAACAGTTTAAAAACATCTGACTTAGACTCTTCAAAACAGGTCAGTATCATGAACAATGAATCAAAAATGATTAAGGAACTATTTTAGATCAAAGGAGACTAAACAACCAAGCACAATGTCCACAGCCCCTGAATGGATTGTGGATATAAAACTAAACAAAACAATCATAAAAGTCATTGTTAGGACTAGTCAGAGCTATTTGAATATGGAGTGTGTTAAAGAACAGCTTTGTATCAAAGACATAAATTTGGGGTATGAATAATTGGATTGTGAATGTTTAAAGTAACCTAATTTGTAGGAGATTCTACTGAAGTATTAAATGAGATGTCCTGTTGGTTATAATTTATTCTTATCTGGTTAAATAAAAATAATTACATATAGAAATGTCAAAGTGGTACCAGTTGACAAATGTAAATGAAAAGCACATGAATTTTTATATAGTATTGAAACTGGTCTGTGAGTTTGAAAATTTCCATAATGAAAGGGGGAAGATAGAATTGCTTATTGAAGTAGCCAGACTCAAGTAATGGGAAACACAAATTCCCATTAAAGAAAAACAGTAGAGAGTCTTTCAAGAAAGTGGTCAAAAGCAAGGATCACAAATAGTTTATTTTTATTTTTTTATATTGGTGTTTGGGTTTTTTTGTTTTGTTTTGCAGCGCTGGGGATCAAACCCAGGGCTTGCACATGCTAGACAAATGCTCTACCATTGAGCTACGCCCCCATCCCACCCATAGATCTTTCATTTCATTAGTATCTCATTAATGCTGGCTCTCAGACATGGTTGAGATGCATGGGAGTCTGAGTCTATATCCATGAATTATTAGCAGTGTTTGCCAAAGGCTTAGAACATGGGAGCAGTGAAGGATGTCCCAAATATTTGTCATCTCTGCTCAACTGTTTGCCTCATTACCCTCTGATTAATCCTTCACTCTTAACAATCACTGCTAACCCTACTTTTATCTTGAAGATTAAATTGTTTTCTCTTGTTAATATCACTCCTTAAGCTGAGCCAAGGCTCCCCAAATCTTTAAGTCAAGGATCTGAGGCACCTTAAATCAGAGTCTTTGAATCCAGATCAGCTTTATGTGTGGGAAGGACAGACTTTTCTTCTAGGAGGGGTCTCCTATATAACTTCATTAGATTCCATAAGGAATTGGAAACCTAAAATGGTTAAGAACCCTGTGCCTTCATTAGTATTCTGATGGTCTGCTGTGATTAGTTTTCATTTCACTGGATCAGCACTTTCTTAGTCTTGTTTGCCAGGCTCCTCCTCTGTGTTAGGGTGATGAAACTCTACCTGTGTTAAGCTCTTTTGCTAGTCCATTTAAGATTTTCCTTTGCTTTCCAGAGAGCAAATGCATTTTTCATGTCAGTCAAGGGCAGATAATTCTCCACTCCCTTTAAGAAGTTAAAGGAAAATAAAAAAATAAGGGGTGAAAAGAATTTTGGTCATAGTATGTGCTCAATAAATATCATTGGGTGGATGGTTGAAATAATTAAACATTTCTTTTTCCACACAGCTTTCCTGCTGACATTAGTTGGCGCGTGCATTTAATGTTTTTTGAATGAAATTGCCTGGATTGGTTCCCTTGGCTGCCTGTGCCACTTTCCCACTCCTTTTCCAGCTTGAGTCTTCAAGAGGGAGCCTCAGAACTGATTTCTAAAACTGTTTGTACCTGGTGTGATTATAAAGCAATGAGACTGATTGTCATGTGTCGTTTATGGGATCCGTCTCAGTTACTTTATAGCCATACCTCGTATCTTACACCACAGATCATTGCCTGTTGAACAACACTTTAAAAGCACAAACCTATTCTTAAGTGGAATGTAAACCGCTTTAGCATTTTTTTTTTATGATTTTCTCTAGCTTAATTGACCAGAACTCTTATTTTAGAAAGTAATTGTATGTTAACTTTATTGCTTGCTTTAATTTTGCAGTTTTGTTTTTGTTTATGGATTTTTAGTCAGTATTTTAATAAACTGTTCTGATAAGTGGCTGGAACAATTTTGAATAAGGTAATACACAAATACATGTTCCATTAGTTTGCATTTTTCATAAAACTCCTTTTTATTATTGAGTTTATTTTCTATTTCATGTAGTCTTGACTGCATATAATTACAAGGATGGTCCTTTTAGAAAACAGCAAACCAAATAAAAAATCTTAATAGTCACTGAGGAAGTCTTCAAAAGAAGTTTCAGGCTTGTTCATTTTGTTTGGTGTTTTATATATATATGTACAAATCTTACTCAAATTCAAGTAAGTGATAATGATTTCCTCTTTCTCCAAATCAAATAGGAATGCTGATCTCTAGTCTCTCGGAGGGGCTTTTAGAAAAAGATAGATTATAAAAGTTGCATGTTGACACAGGCAGCTTTAGCATAGGAAAAGCTGGTAACTGACAGCTAAATCAGCGGTAGAAAGGCTTCTCTGTTCACTAAGTGGGAAGTTGTTCCCTTAGTAGAAGAGAAAAGGGATAGTGATCACTTTTAGACATAATTTGTGGCTGCGGGCAGACTTCTGGACAGCTATTAGAAACTGAATGCTTTTGTCACCATCCTGGATACTATTCCAGAAATTGAAACTTAAACCCATCTCAAAAAGGGTTTGGGTTGATGAGTGTGGGGATGCACATTTATAATCCCTGCACTTGGGAGGCTGAGGCAAGGAGATGAAGAGTTCAAGGACAGCCTAGGTAGGCTACCTAGCAAGACCCTGTCTCAAGAAAAAGAAGGGTCTGAGTCCCAGAAGGGTTCTAGAAGAAACTAGAAAGGAGCCTTACTCCAGTCAGGTCTAGATGTAAGACCAAAGTTAGTTTGAAATATTATTAATAAAAGGTACTGCCATTGGTACTTTGTTGTGTGTTTTAAGTCTCAGTGATGTGTGAGCTCTGTGCCTTTTGCTGCTTTCTATTCCTTATATTAGTTCTGCACACAAGTGGTCCAGGAACATTTCTTAGAATGATCATCAGTGCAAGTGTCTATACCATAAATAACAGCACTTTTCTCCTTTTCTTAAGAAAAGTGGCTCATATCTGTAATCCTAGTTCATGAGACCCCATCTCCAAAACTAAGCAGAGCAAAACGGATTGGAGGTGTGGCTGTAGAGGTAGAGTGCCTGCTTTGCGAGAGCAAGGCCCTGAATTCAAACCCCAACCCCACCAAAAGAAAAAAAAAAGAAAGAAATTAGGCTGGAGATGCAGCTCAGTGACAGAGCACCTGCCTAGCATCCACAAGGCCCTGTGTTTGATCCCCAGCACCAAATAAATAAGGGAGGGAAGGGAGAGGGCTTTCTGAAGATCATTTTTATTGCTGTCTAATATGTCATTTTACTATCTGTTGTCCCATTTGGTCAGGATTTGAACTCAGGACCTTGCTCTTGATAGGCAAATGCCGTGAACTTGAGTCATGCCCCAGCCCCTTTTGCTTTAGCTATTTTTTGAACAGCGTCTCATGTTTTTGCCAGAGCCAGCCTTCACCACAGTCCTCTTCTTTGTGCCTCCTACGTAGCAGGGATGATGGGCATGTACCACCACGCCTGGCATGTTTGTTGAGTTAGGGGTCTCACTCATATTTTGCCTAGGCTTGCCTGAAACCACGAGTCTTCCAATCTCCACCTCTCAAGTTGCTAGGCTCACAAGCACAAGACTATGCCTTGCGTCTAAGTCTTGGGCACTACACCACATATTCTCAGTTGGTGTTAGCATGCACAACCTCATTTGTACTGAAAATGCGAATCTTCACATTCTTCCACTAGCTAACGCTGCAGTAGTTTTTCAAAGGAGCATATTTATATAGTTGATGTTTCTAAAAATTTTAAGTGTCACTTGAGTATATATATTTATTTTACATTACAGGCACTGGAGATATTATTGCTGTCATGATAACAGAATTGAGGGGTAAGGATATTTTGAGTTACCTGGAGAAAAACATCTCTGTACAAATGACAATAGCTGTTGGAACTCGAATGCCTCCAAAGAACTTCAGCCGTGGCTCTCTAGTCTTCGTGTCAATATCTTTTATTGTTTTGATGATTATTTCTTCAGCGTGGCTCATATTCTACTTCATTCAGAAGATCAGGTACACAAATGCACGCGACAGGAACCAGGTGAGCTACCAGTACGCTACAGTGATTGGTTCTTGCCAGCCACAATCCATAGATACCTGTTGTGATCATACATCTTGCAAACATTGTTTTCAGTTAAAAACAAAGTTGTAACCTGAAGTTATTTTAATATGTTGAAAATGCATTTTAAGGATATTTTAAATACCTTAAAGGAGAAATTACTACATTTATGTTATTTCTGATCATATTCTAGTTAGGTAGATAGCTTGTCATGATGACATGATCTAGATACTTCCGTAAGTTTGGAGAAATCATGGAAATGTATTTTTAAACCAGTACTTTTGGTTGCTTCTGTAGAGGGGAACTAGGAGAATCAAGGAGGAAAATTCACTCTACGCCCTTTTCCATATGAATATTTTTCCCATGTAAATTTTGAACTATGTATTATTCGGGGGGAAAAATCAGAAATAAATCCCCTGTCTGTTCAAACTCAGACTCAGAAGTAAGGTGGGGAAAAAGAGCTCTCTTTAGATGGTCATTTTAGAAATTCCATTGGTCAGCACATCCTAAATGCCCAGTGAATTTTGCTTGAATGGATAAGGACACTGGAAGGCAGTGTGTTGCCCTGGAGTGAAGGATGACTCTCTCCATTTGCAACTTTGATGTCCTGGGAGCCTGGTTTGAGCCCTTAGGTCCCTGCCCTAGACTTTTCCTATAGGCAGCTAAAAAGTGGATCGCTTAGAGAGTGGTTTAAAGCCAAGTTTTACATAGCACCATATTCTTGTGGCCCAGTGTATCCAGATCCCTGTGAAGGACTTGGAATTTTCATCCTTCCTCATTCTCGTGAAGGAAGCACAGGTTGTGGCAGTGAGTAAATCTGAGCGCAAACCCCTGTCTTTACCACCAGTTTATCCTGCTCACACTTGGACAGTTTATTTAGCTTCTCAACTTTTTACTTCATCTGAAGGTTTTGCAGTATTGGGCCTCAAACCCTGGGTTTCATGCATAAGCAAGTGCTCTACCACTGAGCTCTACCCAACCATTGAAATTTCTGAGATGCACTTTTATTGAACATCTATGTGCCAGACTCTGTAGTATCTTGCACAACTTAGAATTTTTTATTTTGATATGCTTTATTATTTATAATTGCAGACTTATAAAAAAGTTGCAAGAATAGTACAAAGTATTCATTCAGATTTTCCAGCTGTTACCATTTTTACCGTGTTTCCTTCTCCATGTATGGATACATATTTTTAACCATTTGAGAGTAACTTTGAGATATGATGCTCCTCCAACCTTAAATATTTACTAATGTTGTATTTTGTTAAAGAACATTCTCTTACGTAACTGTAGTATGATTATAAAATCAGGAAATTAATGCTAATACTATACATTAGCTGATCTACAGACCTTTTTCAAGTTGTGCAAAACTGTCTTATGATATCCTTGATACCAAAGAAAGCAGATTGTGTGTTGCATTCAGCTGCCATATCTCTGTTACTTTGTTTTATGACATTGATGTTTTTGTCAGTGTCAGGTATTTTGTATTGGAGTTTTCCGTCTAACAGTGTTCCTTCATGGTTAGATTCAGATTTGTATGCATTTTGTCAGGAATATTAGCCTTTTATATATTTTTTAAAACTTCTGTTTGGTCTAATTGTAGATTCACTTGCATGCATAAGAAAATGCAGAGAGATCCATATACCTTTACCCATTTCTGCCCCCCCCCAGGGGTAGTACCTTGGAAGTACCTAGAAATTAATATGATCTCACTGATGACATCAGTGAATTATACTGATCTTACTGAATCTACTTGAAATCTTCAGATTCTCTAGGCCCAGGGCAGTTTTGTACAACAGTCTTCCTGCCTATGCTTTTCATCTAATTGGGATCATAAGCATGCACCACCACACCTGACTTCTGGATTGAGGTTTTTTCCTTGGCCTGACCTCAAACTAATATCTTCCCAATCTCTGCCTTCTGAGTAGCTGGGATTACAGGCGTGAGCTACTGAACCCAGCCTAGAATTCAAATGTTTTTACTTGGCATAATTCCCTTGAGGTCCTTCCAAGTTGTGTGTATCAATAGTTTATTCTTTTTTATTGCTGAGTAGTATTCTGTGGTGTGGATATACTACAGTTTTGTTTAATCATCCACTCATTGAAGGATATCTGGGTTATTTTGAGTTTGGGGCTATTATAAATAAAGCAGCTATGAACATTTGTGTACAGGTTTTTAACATGAGTTTTTGTTTCCCTGGAACAAATGTGTAGCTTCTGAATACAATATAAATTTCAAGATGTGGTTTTAAGTTTATTATAGGCACATACTTAGTTATATGAAAAACTGTGGTACTGTTTTCCAAAGCCGCTGTACCACTTTACATTCCCACTAGGACTTTATGACTGATCCAGCTCCTCCTTGTCCTTGACTGCATTTGTCAGTTCTTTTGTATTTTAACCATTATGTTGGGTATGTGATAACATCTCTTTTGTGGCTCTCATTTGCATCTTTCCAATGGCTGCTGATGTTGAACACGTCTTTAACCGCCTGCTTGCATCAGAATATCCTGTAGTTAGCAAAATGGCAGTCTGTGTTTCTTGCCACTTCACACCTGAACTTTTGTTTTTGTCAGTGAGTTTTGAGCGTTATTCGTATGTTGCAGATACAAGTCCTTTGTCAGGCATGAACTTTGCACAGACTTTCTCCCCATGTATAGTTTGTCTGTTCAGCCTCTTAACAGGCTCGTTTGAAAAGCAAACGTTTTTAATCTTGATGAGGTTTGATTTGTGAATTTTCCCTTTTATGAATTATGCTTTTGGTGTCAAGTCTAAAAAGTCTCTGCCTAGCCCTAGATCTCCCAAAGATTTTCTCTTTTCTAAAATTTTTGTAGTCTTACATTTTAGATTTAAGTCTGCAATTCACTTATTTGAAACTTTCCTCCTTTCTAATGTCAGCATTTAGTGCTGGGACTTGCTCTCAGCACTGCTGTAGCTGGGCCCTACACATTTTAGCATACTGTATGTTCTCTCAGATCTGTGTATTTTTTCTTTTGAGACTTCCTCTTTCACCCCATTCATGTTTTTAGCTTAGCATTATTGACATCTGTTTTGATTCTATTATGACCAGAGAAATATTTTGATTTCAGTTCCTTTGCAGTACTGGGGTTTGGATTCAGGGGCTAATGCTTGCTAGGCAGGTGCTCCACCACTTGAGCCACTCCTCCCAGTCCCAGTCCTTTTTTGGCCTAATTATTTTTCAGATAGGGTCTCAGACTGTGATCTTCCTACTCAAGACCCTCCGCATAGCTGAGATCATAGGACTGCGCTGCCATGCCGAGCTTATTGGTTGAGATGAGGTACAGGTATAAGCCATTGCACCCAGCCTCTTTTCTGTTTTTTGAAATTTGTCTTATGATTTAGGATATGGTTTGTCTTGGTAAATGTTTCATGGATGCTTGAAAAAAAAAAAACAAAAGGTGTCTTCTGCTATTGGATGGAGTGTTGTATAGATGTAAGTTAGGTCAGTGCACTCAGCCTGTTCCTGTGAGAGCTGGGTAGGAGACCATCTGTTGGTGCTGGTGGTACCAGGATGATAGAAGGAGTGTGATTTTTTTTTTCTCCTTACTACTTGCCTAGAATAGAGCAGGTGTTGCCCGAAAGGTTTGCTAACCTTTTCTAGGTTCCAGGTACTTTGGCTAGGGGAATCAAGCCTTTAAAACTAGACGAAAGATTTAGACTTAAAAAAAAAAAAGACATGAACATAAAAGGAGGACTGTGTTTCGAGGGAGGGGGAGACCACAGAGAGAGGAAAGGAGAGGGTGATGGGGTAAGTATGATCAAAGTATAATACATGTACATACCATAATGAAACCCATTTTTAAAAATTGTGAAAACAAAGCCAGGGGAGAGGCGATAAGAGAGTAATAGATGTAGTGAACATGACCAAAGTACATTATATGCATGGCTAGAAATGTCACCGTGAAACCTCTTTGTACAATAAATATGATAATTAAAAAGAAATTTTAAAAAAGCACCATAAAATTTTGTTCTGTACATGTATTGCCTTATGAAGCACTGAAGGTAGAATAATGAGGCACTCATCCAAAATGGTGTTCTTAACAAGAAGCCCTACAGTAATAGGCTGAATGTGGCACCTCTGAGGACCTTTGAAAGAAAGCTCCTGGTTGTCCCAGGAGCCTGCTTTTTGAAGATGGTGCTTTAATTAGCGCCCAGTGTGGGCCCGTGTGTGCTGAAGAGAAAAGCTCACCATCTGGCATGGCCACAGACAGGGCCCTTGTTTCCTAGTGTTTGTTTGCGGCCACTTTCAAAGCACCCAGCTCCTCATGACGCTTTAGAGGAAAGTGATGTTCTGACCTTTTTCCTCTTCCATTTTCCCTAAGGTTGAGAAGTGCTTGATGAAATTTTTATGGCTTAAAAAGCTTAGCTTATTAAAGTTTAATAAGATGGTGGCAGCGACTCTACTGGTTGAAACCTTTGGCCATTTTAAAAGAGAAGTCAGAACTATTAGGAAAAATAGTAAGTTGCGTGAGAGAGGCTGATTTCTACAGAATATGCTGCCAGAGAGAGCCTTGAGTTATAAGTAACTTTACAAGCACCGTGTATTGTTTACATGTGATACGAAAAATCTAATGCTTTGGCCTTCAGCTTTCCATTAAGCGTCTGGTTTGCTCCTCCTGAAAAAGCATTAAAATACATCTAAAGATTATATTTAGGTACAAATATCTCAGATAATGGCAAACTTAAATGTCACCTAATCAAGTCAGTGATAGTTATTTTACACAAAGGGGTAGATGTTTGGTGCTTTTATATTGAAAGGATGCATGAGGACTTTCAGAGAGATGTAAATTTTTCCACAGTTTCATGGTTAATATTGTGCCTTTGTGTTAGTCTACTTTTTGTCCCTGTGTCAAAATACGTGATGTGAACAACTTAAGGGAGTAAGGAAGTATTTTGGCTCATGGTTTCAGTCCATAGTCAGCTGGCTGCATTGTTTTTAGTCCTATAGCAAGGCAGAACTTC